CCGGCCAGGTACACACCCCATCATCCTTTCTTTTTTCGCCCCCCCCCCCCCCCCTCCGACGGAGGCCGGCGGGCAGGTCCCAGCCAGGGGCGGGGGGGGGCCGCGGAGAGCGCGCGCCCGCACCAGGCAAAGCCCGCCCGGCGCGCCGGAGCGAGCCCATTCCAGGGGCCCGGCGCCGACGCGGAGGCATGCGCCCCGGCGGCCCGCCAAGGGGCCGCCCCCGCCGGCGCCCCCTGCCTCCCGGGCCGGGTGTTGGCACCTCGACCCGGCGTTCTGACGCCGGGCTACACCGTCGGATCTGGGAGGCGCCCGATTGGGCCGCGCCCCGGTCCCGCGGCATGCGCCCCGACGCCGCCCGGGGGGCGCCGAAAAAAAAAAAGAAAAAAAAAAGGGCCGCTGAGCGCCAAATCGAGCACCGGGCTCGCCGGCGGCAGATCGCCCCCAGCCGGGCCGGGCGCGTCCATGCCCGCCCGCGGGCTCGTCGTGCCCATGCTCAGGGCCGGACCCCTTCGGCAGGGGGGGGGGAGGGGGGCCCGGGCCGACGTGGGCAGGGGCACCCTTGTCATGGTTTTCTCAGCTGAGCGACGTCCGTCCGGTCTCCCTTCCGGGCGCGGCAGCCGGCCGGCGACTTGCCGGCCGCCAGGGGCCCGCGGTGCGGAGATCTCCCGCGGCTCTTGGCCGCAGGGCGCGCGCCGGCGGGCCGGGGGCCTGGCAGATCAACCCAAGCGAGGGCCCAGCGCCGCCGGTCGCTCCGGCCCGGCCACCCGCCCCCCCCCCCCCCCGCCTGCCTCCTCCCTCGCCCTTGCTCCCCCTCGCCCCTTCTCCTCCTCCTCCTCCCTCGCCCTCATTCCCACCATGTTCGCCCAACCGCCTCCTGCGGCGGCGGCGGCGGCTGGTTTTGGCGCGCCACCCCCCGGCTTCGGCGCCCCGCCACCTGCCGGCGCCGGCCCCGCCGACACCCCTGCCTCCCTCATGGACCGTGTGCGTGTCCGCCTCCCTGGCCGCCCGCCCCCGCCCCCGTGCCATGCCCTCCCCCCCCCCCTGACCACATCGCCCCTGACCACCCTTGGCCACAGCTCGATGCCATGGAGCAGACCATCCTCCAGCGCCTGGCCGAAGTGGAGGCCCGTGTGGCGGCCGTCGAGCGCCAGGCCGCCAGCATCACCACCACCCTGCTCGGGCCGCCGAGCGCCAGCAGCCCGGCCACCCCGGCCACCCCGGTGGCCGGCCAGCCGGCCGAGGCCCCGGCCGGCATGCTGAAGATCGTGCAGCAGCTCGGCAGCCAGCTGGCCCACCTGCAGAAGTCCCTCGACCAGATGGGCGCCCAGGGGTTCGACCCGCATGCGGCTTCCCACGCTGGCGGCAGTGACTCCTCCTCCATCCACAGCACCGAGAGCGCCAGCCCCGGCGGGCTGAAGATGATGTTCGGCCGGAAGCCCCTCAACCGCCGGTCCACCGGCAGCCTCCCCTACCGCTCCGGCGGCAAGGGTAGCGACTCGCTGGAGGAGGCCGCCGGCTCGTACGAAGCCTCGGCCCCGGCCCCGGCCCCCGTCTGTGCGTCCTGCTCCCGGGTCTGTGCCCCTCCCCGGCGGCCGCCCCGCTGACTGCCGTTCCCCCCCCCCCTCCTCCCCCCGGATCCGGTCACCCTGCCGCAGCGTCGCGCAAGCGCTGGTTCAACACGGACCACGCCGCGTCGGTCGACATCACCACCCTCGACACGGCCGAGGTCAAGCGCCAGGATGTGGCCTACGAGTTTGTCGACTCCGAGGCCGACTACGTGCGCGATTTGAAGATCATGCTGGAGGTGCGTGCGCCAGCCAGTCCGGGTGTGAAGCCGCGCGGCTTGCCCGTCCGGGGGCCCCCCCCGCCCCCGCTTCCGCGAGGGTCTCCTCCCCTCTTCGCCGCGCACTCCACCCCCGCGCGCTAACCGACTGTTTCGTGCCGGCTCTGGCCCTCCCCCCCCCTCCTCCTCCTCGTCCTCCTGCGTCTGGTCGGCAGGTGTACAAGCAGAAGATCGTCGAGGCGGCCTGCATCTCCGAGGCCGAGGTCCACTCGCTCTTCCACAATGCCGAGGCCCTGCTCGAGGCCAACGAGGTGCGTTTCCGCCGGCGCGGCCACATCCTTCCTCGCGTCCTCTCCCGATGGTGCTGACCCCGGCCTCTTCGCCCGCCCCCCCCCCCCCTTCCAGGCCTTCGCCGAGAGGCTCGCCGCCCGGCGCCGCGAGACGCCCGTGGTCATTCACATTGCCGAGCTCCTCACCGAAGCTGTACGCCCGATGGATGCCCCCGTGCCCGTGCCACCTTTTCTTTCCCTCTCCCCCGTGCCGCCGGCTCACTTCGGTCTCTTGCTTCATCGCCTTCCCCCGTGCTGGGGCCTCGGCCCGGTAGCTTCCCTCCTTCGAGCCGTACATCGAGTACTGCAGCAACCACCCGGTCGCGGTGGAGGTGCTGTCCGGGCTCCTGCGGGCTGGTGGCGCCTTCAAGACCCAGACTGAGGCCCTGTGGAATGACAATCCCGACACCCGGCGTTTGTCCCTGGAGTCCTATCTCATCAAGCCGGTCCAGCGCATTTGCAAGTACCCCCTGCTGCTGCGTGTGCGTCTTTTGCCGGGATGTGGCGTCTTTTTGTCTTTCCTCCCTCCGCGACGTTGGTGTCCTTTGCTTGGCCCCTCTGCAGTGCTTTATCCCGCTTCTCTTTCGGACCCATGCGTCCATGCGTTCATGCGTCCATGCGTCCATGTGTCCATGGACCCATGCGTTCATGCGTCCATGGACCCATGCGTCCATGCGTTCATGCGTTCATCCGTTCATGCACACATGCACCCATGCACCCATGCGTCCATGCGTTCATGCACCCATGCGTTCATGCACCCATGCACCCATGCGTCCATGCGTTCATGCACACATGCACACATGCACACATGCACCCATGCACCCATGCACACATGCACACATGCACACATGCACACATGCACACATGCACACATGCACACATGCACACATGCACACATGCACACATGCACACATGCACACATACATACATACCTCCATTCACACATACCTCCATTCACACATACCTCCATTCACACATGCACACATACATCCATTCACACATGCACACATACATACATACCCCCCATTCCTCACGCACACACAGGAACTCTCCCGCTCAATGACCGAGGAGCACCCGGACTTCGTCCACACCCAGACAGCCACCGCGCGCATTGAGGAGCTCCTGAGCCGCATCAATTCGGCCACCCGCCAGGCGGCAAATGCCCGGCGCTTTGCCGGGCTCATCGAGCAGCTGGACCTGCCGCAGGATGTCCGGTCCTTCGAGCTGGCGCACCCGGGGCGCGAGCTGCTCGCCGCGCTGGCGGTCCGCCAGAGCGTCGTCCCGCCGACCGGCTCCTCCGGCCCGAAGAAGCTCATGGAGGACCGCCAGGTGTTTGTCTTCAATGATGTGCTGATTTCTTGTCGCGCCGACCCGGCCACCGTGCCCCTGACTGCCGGGGCCAGCCCCCGGCCTGTGTCGGCCTCCGGTGGCCGGCTCATCCTCTGTGACTCCATCTCCCTGGCGGTGGTCAACTGCGAGCCCATCTCCGCCAGCTACGGCATCAACAACAAGTCCTCCGCCGTGTCGGTCCTCGGGGGCGACAGCGGCAGCCACTCCTTCCACACCCCGGCCAGCTTCATCATCCACCTGCCGGCTTCCAAGGAAACCATCGAGTTTGTCCTCCCCTCGGAGGACGAGCGCGACAGTGCCGTGCGCCTGATCAAGGGGGCCATCGTCAAGCTGGTGGAGGCCGGTGCGTGTGCTTGCCTGCTCGCCCGGTGGGCGCCCCCCCCCCCCTCCCTTTCATCCTGCTGCGCCCCCTGCGGGCTCTTGCCCGGCTTTTTGAATCTCACCCTCGCGCATGTCTCTCTCTCTCCCCCTCTCTTCCCCCCTCCCTCCGGGGGTGTCTCCACAGACCCCACCAAGCTGATCAACAACAACCTCAATGGCCTCCCCCTGCGCCGGAGTGCGGCATACATTCCCCCCGATGCCGGGGCTGCCGGCGGTGCCGGTGCCACGCAGCAGCGCTCGCGCTTCGCCCGCGACAAGGACAAGGAGCGGCCTTCCTACTGGACCGACAAGAGCTCGGGCTTGGTCTTCCTGCGCGGCAGCGAGTGGTTGAAGGACAACCCGACCTCGGTACATGCCGCCATTCCCCGGCCCATCTTCCCCGCTCCTGCCTCCCTTTCTCCTGCCCCTCTCTCCATGGTGCCTCCGGCTGATCCCCTTCTTTGCCGCGCCCCCGCTCGGGCATAACCGCCCTGGCAGTTCCCCTCGCCCGCCATCATCGAGAACGAGACGGAGCTGGTGTATGTCGCCACGTCAGACCACATGCCTCAGAACCAGTTTGAGATCCGCTGCGAGCGCGGCTCCTACCTGATCGTCACCAACCAGTGTGCCTCGGACTACTGGAAGGTGCGCCCCTTTCCCCTGCGGCTGCATGCTTGCTCGATGCGATGCCCCCCCCGTCCCTGCCCTTGCCGTCGCCATCGCCATCGCCATCGCCATCGCCATCGCCAGCACAACCATGCGCCTGGTTGCTCACCCTCCCCCTTTCTCCGTGCCCAGGTCGAGATGAAGGATGTCATCGGCTACGTCCGGTCGTCGGGCCTCAAGAAGGTGGAGAACAGCACGGTCAGCGCCATCATCGAGCAGCTGAAGAAGTCCCACCAGCCGAGCGTGTCCTCATGCCAGCTTCTGCCGGCCCCGGCATCGGCCCTGGCTGGCGACGACCCGGGCTCCTCCCGGCGCTTCGGCCTCCGGCGCCGGAACAGCACCAACAATCCCAACCCCCCGGGCGCCCTCTTCCCCCCGATGGCCACCTCGGCGGCCGACGTACGTTCCTCCTGCTCCTGCTCCTGCTCCTGCTCCTGCTCCCGGCCTCGCCCTCGCCCTGGTGCCCTTGCTCTCTCCCCCTCTCGTGGCTGTGTCATCTCGCTGACTGCCCCCCCCCCCCCCTTGCCCGCCCATCGGGCCCCACAGCGCCGTCGCTCGACCGGCATCTCCTCCAGCGACATCCCCAAGTACCAGGCCCTCGGCCGCACGTGGATCCGCGCGCTCAACCCCGGCCATGCAACCCGGCCGACCGAGCCCACGCACTACTTCTATTGCCCGGACACCTACGAGACCTCCTGGGACCTGCCCAAGGAGGACCCTGCCACGCTGGACAAGTTTTACAAGTGGTACTCGCGCCAGGTGCCCCATGCCCCGGGCTGGTATGAGATCGAGATGGCCCCCGACTCGGCGGACCTCCCCCCGGCACACCTGGCCGCCTCCGGTCCCTACTTCTTCAACCCCACTACCCGGCAGACTGCCTGGACCCTGCCGCCGTCGGCTGGCGGCGCGCCGGGCAGCTCTCCGGCCATCTAGTCGCGCGCGCGCATGTGCGTGGTACACCTACACGCGCATTCGCGTGCCCCGGGCAAGGAGGAATACACAACTGCCCTTCAAGCGCACCCCCGTTCAACGGTGTCCCATGAGGGGAGCCCGGGGGCAAGGGACGAGGGGGGGGGGGGGGGGG